CTTCGTACATTCCACCGAACCTTCTTTAAACACGTTGTGGTGTCTTTGAAGCAAGGCATTCTTCTGGCTCTACTCTAAGGTGTTGTCAGTTCTGATTCGTCTGCAGATGCTGTTAATAAAATGTTCTGCTGGTTTAAGTGTTTCCATGAGATCTAACCCCATTAGGTCGAGTGCTGTCGTAAGTGCTGTTCGTAAAATATAATGTTGCATTTGTTGTTACAGTACCTTTAGAAACAGTGCATGGCACTTCTCCAACAATATTTAACTTCCCACCTAGATGCACCGTGTGCCAGCTGTGTTGTTGGGAAATCTGTAGGTCTTCCAATGTTCTTCCATTTTTCTGCGCTGATAAGAGTAATGTCAAAAGCTGTATCAAGCTGAAAGCTAGTACGATGTTTATTCATATTCAAGGTTACGTACTTTCTTTAGCGGCAACTTTGTGTTTTGTTATGTGATATCAATATTTTGTTGGTTGGAACACTATATCTGTATTTCTTTGAGTAAGGTTTCAAGGAATGTTGTTTATAGTTTCTTCTCCTGCAGAGGTTTTTTTATGCTCCTTCCGATGACATTTGCTGCAACAATGTTCTTTGTATGAACAGAACCACTCATAGTGCCAACCTCCACATGCCCAGCATGGAGATGGTGGTTTGTCGCTGTCATTACGATAATTATGCGTACTGAAACCTTGAAACGCTTTTCTTTTGACTGCATTGACGTTATGGAAACAGTTACCGTTTTCTACAATTGAGGTATCACGCTTCAAGTTCACCAAACTTTGGCACTCGGTAGTCACTTCCTGAAGGGTCATGTTGGGGCAGTGTTCAATTTTTCTCAGGTTTCCGGTTCGGATTTCACCATCCTTGGGTGAACGCAGACTACAGATAAATACTAAGCACTTAAACTGATCTTTAGACATGTACGACAATTTTAACACCCACATTCTGTGTTTACAGTTCCTGCATGCGTAAGCCGGTCATCTCCTGGTTCTTTCGTCAACTTCAACCACTGATAACGGAAATTAAATAGAGATGATTGTTTAACGAAGATTTGAAACAAGGTTCTAAATGTAAATAAATATCCAAAATAAATAGCTCTGTAAGTTTTCGACATTGGATGCTGACCACATTAGTTTTAGTGGACTCACCTATCTGAAGGCTCTCGGTCATGCATCCGCACAAGATCACGTGTGAGAACGCCGTGCTCAACAACTCTTTCAATCGCTAGCCATACTAGATCAGACAATTTCGATATATTAACAATCGTCAACCTGTAACACAGTTGTGCGACGGACATGTTGCAAAGGATGAGAGAGGTCGTAAAACTAAGAAGTTTCGACGAAGGACTTTTCGAACAACGTTTCTTGTCCAAACTTACCAAACAGGTGCAGGCGGTTCTGATCTCGTTTCAAAACAACGTCTTAGACGAGCTGGCTGCATCTGGCGACCGCATCTTAGAAATCACTAAATCTTCTAAGATTGAGGTTTTTCAGTCAAAGAAAAGCCTCAAGTGACTCAAAATGAGATAAACGAGTTATATCATACACTTGCACGTTATCTTAGTTTTTGTAACGACCGTAAGTAATCACACACCCCACGTAGAAGCACTTGCCGTAAGTGATTTGTCTCTAGACCACGAGAAACGGATAATTTAGACTGGTTCTGGTATCACAACCAGTATGGAAAGTCTTCAATAAATTGCAGAAAACCCTGCAATTTTCCCGAATCAAAACCGATTGACTCAAAAAACAACTCGGGAATCTTCCAAGCCGCCACGCGTCGACGGCATCCGTAGCCTGCAAACATAACCGTCTGTTATACTTCACAGATGTGACAACGAGAGTTCGCTACCTCGTCGACACTGGCGCAGAAGTTAGCGTTCTCCTAGCATATTCTAACGACTGGTTTCACGAATCTGCTCTAAACTTACAGGCGTCAATCCGAAAACCTATCGCTACATATGGCATAAGATACGTTTACCTGAACGTGGCTTTACGCAAACTCATTCACTGGAATTTCGTTGTTGCAGATGTTTCTATGCCAGTCACTGGTATGGACCTTCTACAACACCATAATCCCATCATCGTTACGCGCAAACGGAGGCTAGTAGACGGAAACATTAATTTATCCGTTTGCGTAACTTCTTTTACTGGTTGCAGATTATCCCCAGTCACAATTAAGCATACGACAGACCGACTTTATCAACCACCACTCGATAGGTATCCTAGGATTCATCAAACGCAACCGAAACCAGCAACTTCACAAATCACATCACGACTAAAGGACCACCTGTATTCTATAAAGCACGCTGACTAGCTCCTGAAGAGTTTATTTCAGATATTCAACATATTACTGGATCGAACAATGTATTTGCAGACGCCTTGTCTCGCATAACGTCCATGATCTGTTTACAAGGAACCGATCTTTTGAAACTCGCGGAGCTTCAAAAAGAAGACATCGAACTTCAGCACGAGTTATTGTCTACAGCCCTCAAACTACGTATCAAGCAGATGGGAACAGGTGAGTAAACCTTACTGTGTGACACATCTACAGGTAGGGATCGCTTAATCGTGCCGAAACGTTATCGACCTAATGTCTTCAATACATTTCACATATTTTCTCATCCAGGCGTTCGTGCAACCATCAAGCTTATAGGCGAACGGTTTTGCTGTATTGGTATGAATAAAGACGTGAGGGAGTGGACACGCTCCTGTGTAAGCTATCAAAAATTTAAGGCTATCAGGCACAACAAATGTCCCTTAGGCTCATTTAAGACTCTCGATGCTCGTTTCGACCATGTTCATCTGAATTTTGTAGGACCATTACCAGATTCAAATAAATACTCTTATCTCTTAACCGGCGTAGACCGTTGTACTCGAAGGCTAGAAGCAGTACCTAACAAGAACATCACTGTTAAAACAGTGGCCCGCACCTTCGTCGGACGATAGGTAGCAAACGACGGCTGCCCTTCAACCGTCACTACAGACTGCGGACGGCAGTTTGAATCTGAACTTTTAGATTGTCCTACCACACTATTAGGAATCACTCGCATCTGATCGATCATCTACCACCCGCAAGCAAACAGGTTGTTAGAACGCTTTTACCGACAACTTAAAGCTTCACTATCAGCTGCTAACGTTTAGCAGTAGACCGACGCTCTTCCATTCGCTTTACTAGGTATTCGCAATGCAGTGAATGCTGACTTTGGATACACTGCGGCTCAACTCGTTTATGGAACGACACTTCGACTTCCAGAAGAATTCGTGGATCCTTCATCCTCTTCAATAAACATGGATTTAACCTCCTACTCGAACAGGCTTACAGATGGAATGCGTTCAGTTAAACCTGATTCTACTCGGCGACAATCAACTGATGTCCTCGTTCAACCTGACTTACGATATATTAAACACGTTTTTGTTCGTCGAGACTAGCGTCGACGACCAATATGGTAAGGAAAGACAATCAGACGCTGCTAAACTTAGCAAGCTATCAGCAGAGTGTTTACCAACGACAAATTCGTTTGGTTTAAACTTCTGGCTGGCTAGGTCTAAGATTCACTACCCCACTAGGGGGAAGGAGTGATCTGTAGCGGTAAATAAATCCCCAAAATAAATAGCTCTGTAAGTTTTCGACATTGGATGCTGACCACACTAGTCTTAGTGGACTTGTGGTGATAGGCCTGATAAGCTTATTTTGTAAATAGTTTTTAATATTATTTTTATTTATTTTGTCAATCTTTCACTGTCTGTACCTGTTGTTTTAGTTAATGACCTTGTACACACTTGTGCTACTACATAGCGTGACATACTGTTCCTGGCTAATAAATACACTGCTTCTCACACATTCCTCGTTCTATCTTAATTTGTGATTGAGTTAAACGAAGTCTAAATCGAATACTAGTTACATTTATAGACCGTAATTGGAATATACCACATCCTACGTTGGATCATATAATTGGAGGGTTCGTCAACCTGATCAGAATCACCAAGCGTTTATAATTAAGCATTTACAATACTGGACCCATTCAAAACACAAAACATTTGATCAATTTAAGTAACGATTAAATTTTTCATTGTTTTTGTAACAAATAACTGGTATATATTAATATTACTATTGATCCTTAATAATTTTGCTGATATTTTTCATGTTCATATCGGTCTGGTCCACCAAAAACTGACCTAGCTGAATGCGCTCGGTCATGCATCCACACCGGATCACGTGTGGTAATGCTGTGCTCAACATCTACTGCAATCGCTTGCCAGACTAGATCAGACAATTCCGATATATTGGCAATCGTGAACTACAACTTCTGATCTCCTCGATACTGTCTTTTGATTTCTTTTGGAGTTTACTGTCCATAGTCTCTTAAGCAATAGAATTCGGACGGATTAAGCAATCGAATGTAAAGTCATCGGAATGATCTTTGATGGTTTCATTGATTGATGAAATCGGAACGTCATAAATAGACAATTTAAATCATGTAGGGTGTAAATTATTAGTAGACAGATTCCAAACTACGTTTATGTTAATCATCCATTTAATGGCCAAACTTCAGGTGAAGTGCATCGTTGAGAAATAATCACGTGTGACTTGTGATGAGTTTATACATGAAATGGAGTTATCAGGGTCATGACGAGAAAACAATATGGGTTAGATAATGTGAGAGATGGTAATGTAATAACAAGTCGAAAGTTATGTAATATGTGAAATAATAGTATGAGTTGGGTGCAAATTAGTAAATAAATGATGAATGCTGATTAAAGTTCCGAATACAATTCTTACGTTCCAATGGTGATAGTGATTTGTTTGGATAATATGATTGCACAAACTGAAGACAGTTCATTGAAAACCATATTCATCATTCACAAATATTTCTCAGAAATTATATGGGACTCGTCAGCTGGAAGTACCTGCATCCCAGAATGGATGTTCACTCCGGGACTCAAACTCAGTAGCGTTTGCTTCAAACACCATCGCGTTTTCCGCTTGACTACTGTGTACTTATTGAGATGATGATGATGATGATGATGATGATGATGATGATGATGATGATGATGATGATGATGATGATGATGATGATGATGATGATGATGATGATGATGATGATGATGATGATGATGATGATGATGATGATGATGATGATGATGATGATGATGATGATGATGATGATGATGATGATGATGATGATCGTACTTAGCGAGATGATATTGATGATAATCACTATATTGATTGGAATGTTGATGAGAATGTTTGAGGTTATTGATAATGTTGATCACAATGTTTGAAGTGATGCAAACAATATTGATAATAATAATGGTGATTATTTTTATTAATAATATCATTATTTTGTTGACGGCAATGTTGACGATTCTCTGGATGATGATAATTTGTTGTCAGAAAAATGGAGTATGCTTGCGTGAAGTTTCCATTTTGTGTCTGGAACGAATGAAGCGTATTATGATTTGTTGAAATGTATCAGAAGCAATTTGTTTCATCTGGCTGTGATTACTAGTGTATAATTTCAATTTCGCAGCTAGTGTGCATTCACACTTTATATGATTGAACGAGAAATAATCAATTGTGAAACAGCTAAAAACATCTTTATCAAATTTATGTAATTTAAAGGCGACTAGATTGTGGTTTGGATAAGATGTCAGATGACGCAATAACAACCATTGATTTCCGTGAAAAATACGCAGTACGTTGGATTGAAATGTTCACATTGATTTGATCCATAGCTAGGATTAATGTTCACTCGTACTTATGCAGTAAATGTTGTATAACCTGAGAGCCTTTATTGTAAGTGATTGACAAACTGGTGAGGAATGTTATAACGACTTGTAGACTACTTATAGAATAAATGAAGGTTCGATCGCGTGATGGACTGAGTTCTTGTGTTTAGTCTAGTCTTTCCATTTAATCATGTTACATCTGAATTATAATAAAAGAGTTATGTTACAGTCAAGTAGAATCTATGCAGTTGATTAAGACAGGTCACCTATTCTCTGCGGATATAAATGACCTGACATGTATTGGAATGGATTTATATTGTTGGACTTGTTGATACATGAATAAAATAGGATTTATTCATCATATACAATGAACTCAAATGATCTGGTACAACAGAACTAACCTCCACCCTACCAAAAACGGATGCGTATAGTACAAACCACTTATCAACTGGAGTAAATCTTCACCTTGAAATCCTGCCTGATATCTTCCATTTGCCAGCAGCTTCTTCACGAGAAGAAGCGTAACAACCAGCAGATCTCCGTTCCAGATTGTAGCCTCTTTGACAGCAATGAGCAACAGTCAAGATGCAAGTCGACCCTTATTTGGCCTTTCTTTTCCAGCCTACATCCAATAGATTTTACTGATTCTTAGTACTTCCAAGCTGTATCTCCCCATTTAAATAACTATTTGTCTGGTATTCGCGGTCTCTCACATTCTCTGGAAGTTCCACATACCTATACAATTGTTCCCATGATTGTTTCAAGTTTAATCGGCCCCGTGACTTTCAAGGGAACCGAGCTTTGACTGTGAGGCGTCATAAATCTTCTAAAAAGAATGCCTGATAACTCCCAGAGCAGAGATTGACGGCTTTGGTTTACTTTTCATGGTAAGCGTTTTTCAGAGTAGAAATCTTCTACTAGATGTGTTCGCTAATCCCACCCTTAACCCTCCTCCTTTGCCAAGGCTTTGGATCGTCAGTAACTCTAGAATAGCCACAAGCGAAGTCAGTACATTCGTTGCTATCTCTTATATTGGTTGTGTATTATGTTATATCTAGTCAATGGATCGATATGTCATTCTACTTTGAAATATATGAGTATTGAGGAAATACCACCATCATAAACATCCGAATCTGCAATCGATTAAGTGGATAAAATTCACATGCACAAATTCGAGTTACCCTGTTTTAGTGAGAGATGATCATACTATATATTGGGGTAACCTGCAGTGAATTAGTTCAATTGCGTTCATTACTAAGTTAATGATGAAATGCTTTAGTTAGATTCTCGTGGTAGATCAGCTTTTAATCACAACTGGATAAAGTCCATTGATCTATTTATCAAGTTCATTTAAATGTTCTTACTCATTATGAGACTTGGAAAAATTGGCTTCAGTCGCTTATTGTATTCTACTGAGATATCACAAATGATTATCTATTCCATATTAGTTGTTTCATTGTTTTTTAAGTAGGCTTTGATTCGTCATTTTATAAACCAATTTTTTATCAGCATAACGACTTGTGGAGATTGTTGTATTTTCACTAATGTATTCACGAATTGATCAAAGTGGAATCCAGTCGGTTTCGAATGTGAAACGTATCATTAGACTGTATTTCTTGTTTCTTTCTTCTTAAAATCCATTGACAAATGTAACCACGTGGAGGAATAAGTTAAATTTCTAAAAATATTCATTTGACTGTGCAACGAATCAGATTTGCAATAACAACTCTTACAATTGAGCGACTAATTAGAAACGGTACCACATACATTTATTGCCTTATGAAGAAGTAAGTAAAATCGTACTTACCTACTTACTGCTGCACTCCGTGGATGAGCATAAGTTGCTCACCAACATTCTTCATCCAACTCTTTCCTAAACAATCATTTCCAGTTGCTATTCATCCTTTTCTTGTCAGCTTCTGATTCCTGATGTAGTGTACTATTCGGCCTCCCACTTCTCTTTCCGCATCAGCGATTCCAAGTTAGTGCTCCCTCATAATGCAGTTCATTGATTTCCTCAAATTTCATTGATCTCACCTCCAAAATCATTTCGTTATTTCCTTTTCAACTAAAAATTGGTTTGTTCTATCCCGTAGTAGGCTGTTGGTGAAGGTATCGGGTCAACGGATATTGAGTATCACGAGTACACAATTGTTTTGAAATACCTGTATGCTTTCAATGATGGTTGCTGTATTTTTCCATGTTTCAGTGCCGTACAGTAGAACTATCTTGACTTTATTATTGAAGAATCTCAGTGTACTAAATACGAAATTCCGTTTACTTATAAAACAAAAGTTATGTTAAGACCATTGATATTTTCATGTAAATAAATTGGAAACATCTACGAGCAAATTATTTCGTAAAAGCAGGTTAATAGTTACGGTGAATTTCGATGACAACCGTGGTTAACATTGAATTGCATTGTATCTATCAGTTATCAAGTAATGCGATGTGTGCTACTTATATCGACATGAGTAGTACATATCGCGAGTCAGGAATAGAATTTCAAGAAGGAAAGAAAGCGAAGAGACAGTAATCGATATGGAAATGCAGAAACGTTGAAGACATTGAAACATCTTCCATTTATTGTTTGAAACTCCATTATTCCTTCACAACCATAACAATTAATCTATGTTCCCATTCTGTTCAGTTTGATCTTCACAACATTCTGTTGCTTTGTATTCATGTAGTGAATGATAAAAGTGCCTAATGGTGTGTTGATTAGCTACTCCGACAACTCAGCTCATAACAATGACCATCGTTAATTCTAAACGATATTTCCCAGTGGTGAGACGTCCTGAGAATGGACATTAACAACGGACTCTTGGTAATTGCAGTCATCACAGAATCAAGTATACACAATGCTACTAATTTTCAAATAGAATGTTGTGAAACTCTTACAAAACAAGCCAACAATTTCAACTGAGTGAAGATTGGTGCTTGTATGCTAAAATCGTAGGTTTCCAACAACATCAGAATATATTAATAAATAACATCTATTATTCGAATCATACATTATTCATCATAGACTAGTGTTAGTAATGATAATAGTAAAGAATTCCACAGTTTGCATTTGTACAATCATTTGAACATTTGGTGCCTATTGGACGTTCCGCGTGATGAGTGTACACCATTCAACAAACAATTGTCGACTCAATGTTATGATGAAATGTGAATTCTAGGTGTCACATCTAATCACCATTCAAATGTAAATCAATAAAATAAAAATTAACAGCCTAATTGAAACGATCCTTTCAGATTCTCAACAGAGAATCAGAAATCCTTGTTCAAGACTTCAACAATGTGAGTTGACAAACTCTCACTAATTCTCAAAACATGATACAGAATTGTCAACAGTTTACGCTACTTCACTCAAGCAGGTTTCGTCGGCATTTTGTAATCATCCACATAGATATACGTTTTCATGTTGAATTTTTGAAATAGTCTAACTATCAATGCATTGTGTAAGTATTTCGTTTTCAAGCATTGATGTCAAGTTGCGAATAAATTCATTGTTTACTGTTTCCCTGGAAATAATGCATTCTACTTGTATCTGATTAGAAATGGTCAATGTGTACAGATATTGAGTTTGGTCACGGCAGTTAGAATACATGTCACTGTATATTGAGAGCAATATAATGTCCTTCCGTGTAAATCAACTTGATCACATTGTGGAATTCGGTAACAGTGAAAACGACCTCTGTAGTTCAACAAGTAGTCACCTTGATACCGCAATCGTTTAGTTTCATGTAACGAGTATCCTGATCATTACTGTCAATGCATGTTTGTTCATTCACATCAAACACACGTGGTATTCGGTGGTGTAGAATTTTGTCCTGCTTCAGCTTAATTGTATTTTGGACAAGTTTCTGTGAAAAGAATAAAGTTTATTCATTGCAAGTTATCAAACAAAAGAATACGGAATTACAGGGTATGTAATTATAAGTCAATGATATAATGGTGATTTCGTAGTTACTTGACTGCTTTACTCACTGGTTAATTGTAATCATCATGTTTAATGCAATACTTCGTACACTTTCCATTTCACTCATGTCCCATCACAACATGTTTGAACTGAATAAAACTACGTTCAGTGTCTAGTGTGAAAGATGAACTGTGACAAGCAAAGTTGGTGGATCTCAGAAACTGTTTGCATTTAGACATGTACACACGATGCTGTCGATGAACTTAGCAAAGCGTACTGCATTGAATGTTTGATGGTTGTAAAATTTGTTTTCATGAAATCAGTTTAATGATTGAGATCAGTTGAGGAACGTCAGTTAGTCTTAGAATGAACATTCATTTTCAATTATGTTAATCCAGTCGGACAACAAAAGAAGAGTGATATTATCATTCCAATCGTCGCTGATATTCTACTTCAAACATTTGAGTCGACCTACTATGATGGAAGACATCGACGAGTGTGGTCGCATTGTGGTCTGTGTTCTGTTAGTTAATCCATCAGACTGGTTGAATCAATAAAACTCATCGATGGTCAAAGTGAGTTCAAAATGGTCCTTAATACAGTTGTAATTTTCAACAATGAATAGATGTACAGTTCTCAACTATAAGTGAAATGTCAATTGAAACAGCTGTTTGAATACCATATAATGGCTGACTACATTTGCACATGGACCATTCAATTTCATGGAAAAAAAATTTATGTATTCCAGTGTCAAAATAGTTAATACTCAATTAATAAGGTTGAACATACTTCCGATGACTTCACAATCCAGCAACGTACCACTTTGAATCCATTTGACAGGGACAACTACTTCATGTTTTATGTCTTGATTGCTAACTTCGAAGGAAAAATACATTCGGGATTTTGATTTCTCATTATTTATAACAAGTAGTAACTAATAGTAGTAATAGTAGTAGTAGTAGTGGTACGTAGTTGTAGTAGTAATCATAATAGTTGAATTATTGACAATATTCAAGATCAACAAGCAGTGAAATTCTAAAAAATACTGAACCTTCGTTTCTTCCTTGAACTGGACTCCACAGTTGTGTTTACTCACGATTTCGAACGATGTAAATGTCTATTTGTTTTGATACCACATAACCTCAACGTATGTCTATAAAGACAGACCACCAAAGATAAATCAAAAATGAAAGCATCACAGCTTACTTAGTTTATCTAAGCCTGATTGAAAATTTGAAGTTAGGGAACAAGTTAACAGATAGATAATGAGTGAAGTAAATGCTGAATAGCGAAACATTCAAGATTAAGGACAAAGAACTGATAAGGTTTATTAAATGCAGATTTAACTGATGACCTGACAGATGAAAATGACTCATTTGTTCAAAAGATGATATTATTTAGCCGAGAGTGTATCATGGTTCGTTGCACATTTTTCATCAGTTGTCTGAGATTCCCAAGAGTTTTTTTCTCAACTTTCCTATGAATATCATAGATACTGTGTTTTCTAATGGAATTGTGCACCCTAATTAATGTATGTAAACACAAATTTCTACTGACACCACAGCATTTTGATGTCCAAAATAAAATAAAATTTCTAATTACTCGGAGAATTGTTTCTTTTTTTTACTATCTCCAGTTTACTTCTGTGTATAACGTAATAATGTGAGGACATTTGAAGAAAACGATACTGGGTTGGAGTCTCAGAGTAAGCATCGAGTCCGAGAAGCAGGAACATTCAGCTGACAAGTCACAAATAAGAAGAAACACGCGTGTTGATTTGCACTACAAGCTAATATCCATCTTTTCTATAGTTTGGTATTTATTATCAATCTATAATATAAATTTGATTGAATCACATATACATTTCTATACTAACCACTTCGATAAACAATTGGACAGTGTTCACAAAAACTACACAATTCACTCACACTTATATGACCAAAATTTTCTCATTATTTTTTCTCTTTAGGTAACCAATTGTTCATCATCGTCATATACTCAGTCGGTTATCTATCGGTATGTTACAATGCTCTCAGTGCATGATTTCACGAAGTAGATTACAATCATTCCGTCATCTTAATCAGTTGAATTATCAGAACAAATATCTAATTTATTGGGATGTGACATCGAATCTGTTGTAAGGCGGATACTAGCAGTCAGACTTTGACCGTCTGTTGCACCCACGCTCATCTAACCGTTTATTCCTGGTAATTACTATTCATTGACATAGGTTGAATCATCGACTGATGTGTTCAGTTGGCTGTGAAAGTAACATCCACAAAAAGTATCTTGATACGATGAGCAAAATGCTGTGAAGACAACATCAATATTTACTATTAACATAAAATGTAGGATTAAAAATGTCAGTGTATTTCAATGGCATTTCAGAACTGATTGACACTCTTTAAATCATACAGTCTGGCTCCGAACACGATGCAGAGGGGTGGCAGTTTGAAACAATTACAGTCGAAAAGAATCAGTTTCACTAATTATTAATCGAAAATACGACAACATCATTGGAAATAATCAACCACATTTCAACAGAAAATTACAGAACGTCTCATTAAAATCTGAGAGCCCAACATTAATTTCTTCATTTGCAAAATTTTAATCAAACATTCCCAACAACATTTATCCTCCGTTTCCACAGCAATCATTGTCTGACTTCATTCTGTTTTTCTATCATACATCAGCACCACATATTTTGGTACTGATGATTGACGATAAGTAAAACTGTGGTGAAGCAAATGAGCATTGTACTCAGTGATGAAAGAACGAATATAAATGCTTGTAAACCATAAGTACGTGATAGATATAGTTTAGAACCAAATATCTAAGACTTTAATAACCATAAGAATATAAGTTCGTATCTCACAACGTCCATCCGACTCACTCTGAAACCTACAAGGACAATAACACGTGAAGTATATGATCTTCTCAAAGCTCATAAAAACTGTCTTGTTTCTCTGATTATTCTTGAAGACGAACAATTTTGAATGTGGTATAACGCGGTTGAATGGCTGATGTAAATCATAAATCTACTATATAAATGAATGGTTAATGTTAGCTTAAAACAATGACTCTGAGTCTAATAATAATTGGAAAAATGACAGTAGAAGTAACCTGATGATGCCATTTGATGTATTAGTCTCATCAATTCACTGATATTCTCTATCTTAAACAGTGAGATTTAGTTGTAAAGAACCTACATAGATAGATGAGCACAAACTGCAGTTCCTGGTAAAACCATAAAGGAGTTAACAATCAGGTGCACGACGAACGTCTACTTATATTGAAACGATGATTACTATAGACAATCGAATGATATAATCATTAAATCACTACTGCATCCTTTCTTTACAGACTCCAATTCTTGCAAAATATCAGATTTAGATAGTCGAATACTGAACCGACCAGCTCACATTTTATTCACCACTCACCTATGAGTTCAAAGCTATGTTGTTCGACAAATATTGACAGACGGGTTGTTAAAAGGTGTTAATAAAATGTTTTCTGACAATTTATACATAATATTTATGCAAATGGTTGAGATGGTTTCATTTTTTGATACTCATTTATACACTACCTGATGGTTTATCAGTAGTTAGAATAATTTAAAGAAATTAGTAATGACACTCAAAGCGATTGTTTGATAAACGCTGATTAAACAGATTTTCATATGTCCATCGAGTTACTGACTTCAACCAATGTCAAATAAATAATGTCAACGTAATGTTCAACTATCGGTGAGTATGATAAAACTGTCATCTTTTGTTTTCGAAACTCTTCCATCTGAAGAGGTTAGATTTCTTGAAACCTTTCCTTCAATCTTTTATCGATTTGAAATCGGAATTTCCTTATAGAGATCAGTTATATCTTGAATGTTGGGTAATTTTGTTGCTCAAAGTTGTTTGTACGGTAAATAATCAACATCTATGTTTAAGAATGTAGTTTCTCATATCATCCAGCATGTGCTCGAATAGCCATTGTGATTGTTCATGCAATTTCGTTTATGATACACTTATAGTCAGAAAGTTAAATAATAAGGAGACTAGTTTAGATCAATATTAGGTGGTTTGCATTTCGGAAATTCGTCAACTTCTCATGATGAAGTAGTACATGGTGAAACTTGTGAAAGTAATTTAAGCAAATGCATAAGCACTACTAACGTTTATTTTCTGTCAAATTTTGGACGAAAGACTTTTGGTTTTGAATATCTGTTTCCTCATGAGTTGACTGACCTCATGGTTGTCTTTTGTGCCTCTTTGAATGACAACTGGATAATGTTTTATCGTGAAGTAAAGTGATTACACAACATATAGAGTTTGTTGTTTGTTGCCACATTATAAAATTCAGTAAGAGGAAATGTTCAACTAGCCAACTCATAAACATGGAAACATGAATTCCTACACACACATTTCTGATAACGTCTGACTGCTAGTATCCGCCTTACAACAGATTCGATGTCACATCCCAATAAATTAGATATTTGTTCTGATAATTCAACTGATTAAGATGACGGAATGATTGTAATCTACTTCGTGAAATCATGCACTGAGAGCATTGTAACATACCGATAGATAACCGACTGAGTATATGACGATGATGAACAATTGGTTACCTAAAGAGAAAAAATAATGAGAAAATTTTGGTCATATAAGTGTGAGTGAATTGTGTAGTTTTTGTGAACACTGTCCAATTGTTTATCGAAGTGGTTAGTATAGAAATGTATATGTGATTCAATCAAATTTATATTATAGATTGATAATAAATACCAAACTATAGAAAAGATGGATATTAGCTTGTAGTGCAAATCAACACGCGTGTTTCTTCTTATTTGTGACTTGTCAGCTGAATGTTCCTGCTTCTCGGACTCGATGCTTACTCTGAGACTCCAACCCAGTATCGTTTTCTTCAAATGTCCTCACATTATTACGTTATACACAGAAGTAAACTGGAGATAGTAAAAAAAAGAAACAATTCTCCGAGTAATTAGAAATTTTATTTTATTTTGGACATCAAAATGCTGTGGTGTCAGTAGAAATTTGTGTTTACATACATTAATTAGGGTGCACAATTCCATTAGAAAACACAGTATCTATGATATTCATAGGAAAGTTGAGAAAAAAACTCTTGGGAATCTCAGACAACTGATGAAAAATGTGCAACGAACCATGATACACTCTCGGCTAAATAATATCATCTTTTGAACAAATGAGTCATTTTCATCTGTCAGGTCATCAGTTAAATCTGCATTTAATAAACCTTATCAGTTCTTTGTCCTTAATCTTGAATGTTTCGCTATTCAGCATTTACTTCACTCATTATCTATCTGTTAACTTGTTCCCTAACTTCAAATTTTCAATCAGGCTTAGATAAACTAAGTAAGCTGTGATGCTTTCATTTTTGATTTATCTTTGGTGGTCTGTCTTTATAGACATACGTTGAGGTTATGTGGTATCAAAACAAATAGACATTTACATCGTTCGAAATCGTGAGTAAACACAACTGTGGAGTCCAGTTCAAGGAAGAAACGAAGGTTCAGTATTTTTTAGAATTTCACTGCTTGTTGATCTTGAATATTGTCAATAATTCAACTATTATGATTACTACTACAACTACGTACCACTACTACTACTACTATTACTACTATTAGTTACTACTTGTTATAAATAATGAGAAATCAAAATCCCGAATGTATTTTTCCTTCGAAGTTAGCAATCAAGACATAAAACATGAAGTAGTTGTCCCTGTCAAATGGATTCAAAGTGGTACGTTGCTGGATTGTGAAGTCATCGGAAGTATGTTCAACCTTATTAATTGAGTATTAACTATTTTGACACTGGAATACATAAATTTTTTTTCCATGAAATTGAATGGTCCATGTGCAAATGTAGTCAGCCATTATATGGTATTCAAACAGCTGTTTCAATTGACATTTCACTTATAGTTGAGAACTGTACATCTATTCATTGTTGAAAATTACAACTGTATTAAGGACCATTTTGAACTCACTTTGACCATCGATGAGTTTTATTGATTCAACCAGTCTGATGGATTAACTAACAGAACACAGACCACAATGCGACCACACTCGTCGATGTCTTCCATCATAGTAGGTCGACTCAAATGTTTGAAGTAGAATATCAGCGACGATTGGAATGATAATATCACTCTTCTTTTGTTGTCCGACTGGATTAACATAATTGAAAATGAATGTTCATTCTAAGACTAACTGACGTTCCTCAACTGATCTCAATCATTAAACTGATTTCATGAAAACAAATTTTACAACCA